AAGAGACACCCCAAACATCAAAAGGTACTAAAAACTTGTGTAATACACTAGCATCTTGGAGAATTATTCATTACTGATCATTGGAAATAGCTTAAGTTTTCTAGATATTTAATTATTTCTGAGTCTTTTTTACTAGATGATATTAAGTGTGGTCTCATGCTCATTAAGGTACATTTAAAGAGTGTTTTGAATTAACAATAGAAACTGCTGAGATACAATTGACCCTCGTGTTGACATTGGAAGGTAGCATAAAAAGTGTATTTATTGTTACAATTTTACAAAGAAGGAAATAAAATGGAAAACCATTGATAGGGGAGTCTGGAAATTCTCTTTATGGTGCTAAGTTCTAAACTCAGAAGTGAGACAAACTGAAAACTTGTTTGGTAGTGTTTACTATGGGATAAATTAGTTTAAAACTTGGCTTTGATCTTCATAATACCTTCATTAAACTTTCCTCAGTGGTAAGTTTTTACCTATGTCAAATTTAGGACTGTGGACATTGTAGTATGGTATACATGTATAGTTCTAGGCCAAGTTGTTACGTGCTAGTGTTTGCTATTTAAAGAGATGTTTCAACCTTTGCCCTTCTTATGATAAAGCTTCTTTATTATATTTTAACAAAAGTTGTTGAAAATTTGGTACATAATTTAATATACTAATAATTGTATTTCAATAATTTGATTGACTAATAAGTATTTTTGGTCCAGTGAAAACAGAAATACTTTTCTTTCTTTAAAAATATCATGCTTTAAAACAACACAGAGAATTACATTCATTAAACCTTCTCATTTGAGTTAAAAAATCATAGTAAATATTTTGTCATCAACAGAGTGAGGCTGAAATATAAATAGTCTGACTTTTTTGTTTTGGTTTCTGTTGACACAGAGTTTTATTGTAGTAGCTTTACTGAGTATCCTCCTGCCTCATTGTCCCTACTTCGTTCCTTTTTTAACAATTGCAGTTTCATATTTGTGTTTGAGGGCGCATGTGTACAGGTCAGAAGTTATCTCTCCCTCCTATCATGTGGTGCCTGGGAATCAAACTCAGGGCAGACTTGGCAGCAAGCACCTCTACCCTCTGAGCTTTCTCTCCAGCTGCTCAGTAATGTTTTTATTTTTTCATCTTTTTGAGACAGTGGCCCATGCTGACTTTGAATTTTGATCCTCCTGCCCATAGCTTTGAAGTGCAGGAACCATATCTACAATCTGCATTCTTAGTGTCTTAATGTTTCAACTCTGGTACTTTTTCTTAATTTTAGAAAACACATAGGCACACACATGGTCTAAATATGTATGCTTGTCAATTTTGATATTTGAACAATTATAACAAGTCATTTGTCTTATAGGTTCTGTCAAGTCATTATTTTTATAATTCTGCTTTATTTTTAGAGAAATTGCCAGTGAGTGTAATTTTATTGAATTTCTATTTTGTAGTACAAACATTTGGGTGGTCTACTTTGACTGTTTAAGACAATCTGAAACTAATTTCTATTTAACTAGATTAAAAAATATTAGTGTAATATACTTAAGGGCTTCTGCTCTATAAGTCACAGGAAAGTTATGATTGTTGTATTTGCTGAAAACATAACTCTTCTTGTGTGTGTATGCAGTGTGATGTTTGAGTAGAATAACTGATATTCTATCAGACTGATGCCAGAGTGAGGATGACACTAAGCTGGTACCTTTGAGAAACTACAACAAGTGGTGTGACACTAATTCTCAGTCATTACAGGACTGGTATTTCTAGTTTATATATCCAGTCTCCTTTAAGGGTTTCTGTTGCAACTGATACTTGCAAAGTCCCTTTTCACTCTCATCTGCTCACATAGCCACCTTTGAAATCACTTTATTGCTTGTCCTGGTATACTGGTGAAATCATTCAAAATCTTTAGTTCACTGCTGTTGAAAGTATCAAACTAGAATATTCCCTGTACATAAAACTTCATTTCTGCCCTTGGATTATACTTCAGGTCAAATGCTTACTAGTACCTAGAATAGATGGTTTTCATCCTCATTGCCACCTCCTATACTGATTCTGTAAGAGCCCCTTGGGTTTTTTTTTTTTTCCTTTTTGCTACATAGTTATTTCCCATACAGGAACCAGAGTGATCTACTTAAAGTGTTGTGCAGCTCATGCCACTCTGAGATTAAAGAATTTTTCAGTGACTTGAAATTCTTAGGCCTGCTCTTACTATCCTGAATGTAATTTTGTTATTGTTGTTTTGTTATCTAGCCTAGGCTGGCCATTGATTCATAGTGGTTTTCTTCCCAGCTTCTGAGTACTCCTCTGAATAGTTAAAAGTTAGTGTCAGATCCAAAGAGCTGGGTTTACTGCTTCTTATAGAGTTAGAAAGGAAAGTGATTCAGCCAATGAGAGCTATATAACAGAGACTGAGGACATTTGTTCACATCCATTGTGCCATTCACACATTTGCAGGGTGGGTAGAGTTGATATGGGGGATTTAAAAACAAAAATTCAACAAGTATGGAGTGCTGTGGGATGGTCTTTCTATATGCTGTGAATATGTGTTGCTATGATTGATTAATAAAGAAGCTGCTCTGGCCTATGGCAAGTAAGGTTATAGCCAGGCAGGAAATCCAAGAGAGAGAGACAGAAAGAAGAAAGGCAGAGGCGGGAGAGATGCCAGCCCACCGCCCAAAGAGGAACATGCCAGCAGATTGGTAATGCCACAGCCATGTGGCAAAACATAGATTAATAGAAATGGCTTAATTTAAGATGATAGAGCTAGCTGGCAAGAAACTTAAGCCATTGGCCATACAGTTTATAATTAATATAAGCCTCTGAGAGATTATTTTATAAGTGGCTGCGGGACCACAGGGCTGGGTGGGACTGGAGAAACTTCGGCTACAGTGGAGTAATGCTAACCAAATTTGGCTGCTTGTCAGGATTACAAGAGCTTACTACATCTTATTCAACAACATCTGAGTTACTCTGAATCATAGCAGTTAGGAGGTGGAACCTAGAAAATGGAATTTTAAATAAAACTGGTTTAATGTAGGTATTTGTAATCTGCAGCTCTACAGAGTTTCATAGAAGGAGGAACTCTCAACTTGGCATCATGTGGAATCTTCATACTAGAGACTAGAGGGATTATTTGCTAGTAGATGTACTCTGTATTTTTTAAAGTTTAAGGAATTCCCTGTCACCTGGCTGTACCAATAGATGGTAATCTCATTTGTATCCATCTTAAATTGCCAACTTTGTCCTATGGCAAAGACATCTTGCTGATATCTGGAACTAGAGAAGTTTCTAACTGGTGTTAGCAACTGCATAGACCAGTGGATATAGTGAATTTGAGTAATTGTAGCCATTGTTGCTTTAAATAAATTATTAATTTTTTTAGATGATAAGGAGATAGAATTTATTTACTAATAATCATTTGTAGACATGTACAATAATAGGGTGGCTAAGTTTTGAGAAGTTCTACTTTTCAATAGAATCCAAATGGAAATGGGGTGAGGTGGGTAGATAGTTTAGACAGTAAAATATTTCCCATTTAAGCATGAAGACCTGAGTGTAGTGTCCATCATCTACACACGAAGAACTGAGCATGACAATGTGCACCCCCTATTTCTGGGGAGGCACAGCTCACACAATCCCGGGAAGTCACTGGCCAATCAGCCTAGCCTACTCTACAAACTCCAGGTCCCAGGGAGAGACCCTGACTCAAAAAATAGTATGGCGCCAGGGAGTCAGAAGGGGATAGTGGTGGATAGATATAAGCAAAATACTTTGAATACACGTGTGGACATCATCATCAACAGTAAAAATACCCCAAACCATGGATGGCTCCCAAGTAATAGCACTAGAAGTTGATCTGTCTTTTGGCTTACACACACACACACACACACACACACACACACACACACACACGCTCTAAAGGGGGACCCATATTTTTCTGTAATATTTCCATTTATTCATAGTGTACTAAATTCAGCTCAATTATTAGTCTTTTTTACCAACTAAGACACTTTATAGTTCAGAATAGGGTCATAGAAATGGCAGGAACTCATCATAACTTTCCCCTTACATTCTTTTTCCTTTTATGTCTTAAGGTAGATCTTAAGATTTACATTGGACATTTTTTGGGGTAGAGTGTTTGCCCAAATGCAACTTCATCCTGAAATTTAAGTTACTAACGGTTGTGTCTGAGAAGGGAGGAGGGCAACAGTGGCCCAGGGACTTAGGGCAAGGATCCATCACTACTGCAGTGCGAGGTCCTTCTTTCCATCCCCACACCTTTGGCACATACAGCAGAGCTGCCTGGTTTGGCTTTAGTGGCCTTAAGACACAGCTTTGTACTGCATGGCTGGAATTAGTTATTTGTTTCTTTAGGGAACTTTGAGTGACAGCTCATGTAATGCAGCTTTTGTATGGTTCGGCTATACAAGTGGTGGCAGAGCACATTAGATCCACCACACAGATGTTCTTGTTTTAGTCTCGAGTCCCTGGAAGCAATCTGCTACATGAACACTTACGTTTTTTTAATTAATTATTTTTTCATTTATTTTACATCCCAACTGCAGTTTCCTCTCCTTCCTCTCCTCCTTTTCCCTCCCTCTGCCTCCCCTCCTCCCATCTGTTCCTCCTCGGTTTCTGTTCAGAAAGGGTCAGACCTCCAATGGGTGTCAACCAAGCATGGTATATCAAGTGGAGGTAGGACTATGCTCCTTCCATTGTATTAAGGCTTGGTGAGGTGACCAGTATGGGGAATAGGTTCCCAAAAGCCAGCTCATACATTAGGGACAGGCTCTGATTCTACTGCTAGGAGTCCCACAAGTAGACCATGCTACACAACTATCACATATATGTAGAGGGCCTAGGTAGATCAGATACAGGCTCCTTAGTTGTTGGTCCAGAGATGTGAGCTCCTATGAGCCCAGGTTAGTTGTTTCTGTGGGTTCTCTTGTGATGACCTTTACACACGCACTCCTCCCCCTACCCCAGCTCATACAATCCTTCCTCCTTCTCTTCAACAGGATTCCTGGAGCTCAGCCCAGTGCTTGGCCATGTATCCCTGCATCTGCTTCCATCAGTTACTGGATGAAGGTTCTCTGATGACAATTAGGGTAGTCACCAATCTGATTACAGGAGATGGCCAGTTCAGGTACCCTCTCCACTATGGCTAGGAGTCCTAGCTGGGGTCATCCTTGTGGATTCCTGTGAGTTTTCCTGGCACCAGGTTTCTCCCTAATCCCCAATGCCCCCCCTCCCCATTTCAAGACATTTGTTTATTACCCCCTTCTCCTTCGTGCTCACCAATCTGCTCAGCCTGATCCCTCATGTTCCCACCTCCTCCCTCCCCCAGTTTACCTAAGAGATCTCTTCTATTTCCGCTTCTCAGAGAAATCCATGTATCCGCCTTTGTGCCTTCCTTGTTACCTAGCCTCTCTGGGTCTGTGAGTTGTAGCCAGGCTATTCTTTACTTCACAGATAATATCCACTAGTAAGTTGAGTACATACTGTGTTTGTCTTTTTGAGTCTGAGTTACCTCACTCAGGATGATTTTTTCTAGTTCCATTCATTTGCCCGCAAATTTCATGATGTCATTGTTTTTCTCTGCTGAGTAATACTCAGTTGTGTAAATGTACCACATTTTCTTTATCCATTCTTCAGTTGAGGGGCATCTAGGTTGTTTCCAGGTTCTGGCTATTATGAATAATGCTGCTATGAACATAGTTGAGCATGTGTCCTTGTGGTATGATTGCATTCCTTGGGTATATGCCCAAGAGTGTTATAGCTGGGTCTTGAGGAAGGTTGATTCCCAGTTCTCTGAGAAACTGCCATACTGACTTCCAAAGTGGCTGTACAATTTGCATTCCCACCAACAGTGGAGCAGAGTTCCCCTTGCTCCACATCCTTTCCAGCATAAGCTGTCTTCAGTGTTTTTGATCTTAGCTATTCTGACAGGTGTAAGATGGTATCTCAGAGTCGTTTTGATTTACATTTCCCTGATAACTAAGGATGTTGAGTAACTCCTTAAATAGCTTTCAGCCATTTGAGATTAATCTGTTGAGAATTCTCTGTTTAGCTCTGTAGCCCATTTTTTAATTGGATTGTTAGGTATTCTGATGTCAGATTTCTTGAGTTCTTTATATATTATGGAGATCAGCCCTCTGTCAGATGTGGGATTAGTGAAGATCTTTTCCCATACTGTAGGCTGTCGTTTTGTCTTATTGACAGTGTCCTTTGCCCTTTAAAAGCTTCTCTGTTTCAAGAGGTCCCATTTATTAATTGTTGCTCTCAGTGTCTGTGCTACTGGTGTTATATTTAGGAAGTGGTCTCCTGTGCCAGTGCATTCAAGACCACTTCCTACATTTTTTTTTTTTTATCAGGTTCAGTGTAACTGGATTTAGGTTGAAGTCTTTGATCCACTTGGACTTGAGTTTTGTGCATGGTGACAGATATGGATCTATTTGCAATCTTTGGACACCGTGAACTTTGTTTATAATGTTTGTGGGGAGAGTGCAGGTGCTCAGCAGATACCCTGGTGAGCAAGGGGCCACTGTCTCCAGACAGGAAGGAGCAGCTGGCTGAGCCATTAGAGCTGGTTTGGTTGGTCCTCCCTGGGGCTGGGTGGGAGCCGGCAGCCAGAGGCAGAGTCCTGTGTGATTCTGCATGCCTTGCATCATCCTTGCAACTCCTTGGGCCAGGATGGCACCCTCTGAATAACTTCATTCCTGGGTTTGCATCTGTGCAGAGCATTGGGAAGGGACTGTGCTTCGAAATAGTCCTTGTTCTTGAGCTCACTTGTGAAACTGAGGCACCTGTAGTGCTTATATTGTAGCTACGGAAGGCAGACTTGCCAAACTTGGAGAGTCTTGGTCTCTTTAGTATCTTCCAGAAGTTCTGCACTTTTGACATTTAACATTTAGGTTTAGGATCTCTCTGCGGTTAATTTTGTTCAGCTTGTAAACAGTATCTCCTGTGTAGAGTAGCACTCCACCATTAAACTGTGCTGTAGAGGACTAGACTTGTTGGTAATAAAACTGATAGTATAAGGATTTTCCAATCTGTAGGAGACATTAAGTCACATAAAGTAGAATTTAGCAGAGAGGGTTGCCTCCCAAATATCCCAAAGATAAAAGTATTAGGCTAAACAGACCTATTAGAAGTTAGGATGCTAGGATATAAATATTTGTTCACCAGGATTAATCAGCCATTAAGCTACATTCCCATAACAGAGAAAACCTTGATTTATAATCAGCCAAAAGCCCCCTCCCCATCAAAGAACATGCCTCTAACATGCTGCTCCAGGGACCATTATAGGGTCACAACCACCATTAAGTCCTGTGTGTCATAAAGGTATATTAATTCTCCAACAGCTATATCCCCAGCCTTTTTGAAAAGTGGTTTTGAGTCAAAGTCTCTGATGTTGATTGAGGTGGACTTCAAGTTTGTCTGTAGCCTTACAGGGCATTGCTATCCTTTTGACTAACCACCCTAAATTATTGGATTACAGGTCTGCAGCAGCACAGAGTTCTAAAACTATCAGTTTGAGTCACATAGTGGACTGTTCATTGTAGAACAGGAAAAGGATTTGTGTGTGTAGCATGACTTCTCCCTTTAGACCAGAAGAGGAGGAACAGTGTACTATCTACAGTGCATGGGGAAATAGAGTAGATAATAGCTAAATCATAGACTGAAGGTTAGGGCAGTGAGCTGCATGGGTCTCCATTATAAAGAAGGATCTGATGGGGCATGGTAAGTGGTTTTCTGTGTAATTTCCCAGCATGTATTAGTTCCTTCCATGTGCATGAAGACAGACATAGTTGGTGGGTAACATTTTACATGGGACTAAGTCATACAATATCTTATTATTGGCATTCTCTCTACCAGGGAAGGGCCTAGTCTTTCTTAAAGTCAGTGTAGCTGAGTGTTCTTCCAGTTATTTTTATCTCTTTAACAAGTCAGTTATTGGTATCACTTTTTAAATTTCATTTTCTTTAAATGTGTTCCTGCTCTAATCTCTGTTTCTGTTGTCCAACATTTCCCGGTCATTAAGAATTTCATTCCATTTTTTCTTAAGTGTTCTTTGTTTTTTTGCTTCTTTCTTTCTTTACTTCTTTCTTTCTTTGCTTCTTTCTTCCTTCCTTCCTTCCTTCCTTTCTTTCTTTCTTTCTTTCTTTCTTCTTTCTTTCTTTCTTTCTTTCTTTCTTTCTTTCTTTCTTTCTTTCTTTCTTTCTTTCTTTCTTTCTTTCTTTCTTTCTTTCTTTCATTTATTATCTATATCAGTTTAGAGCAGTGTTTTTTAACCTGTGGTTTACAACTCCTGGAGTCAAAGACCCTAACACAAGGGTTGCCTAAGGCCATTAGGAAACACAGATGTTTATAGTATAATTCATTACAGTGGCGAAATTACGGTTATGAAATAGCAATAGAAATGATTTTATAGTTGCTAGTCACCTCAGGATTACAAACTGTATTAAAAGGTTGCAGCATTAGGAAGGTTGAGAATGACTAGTTTAGAGCAAAGTTTCCTGTACCTAAAGCTTGCCTCATAGAATGTATTTGAGAATTGCTTTGAATAACTAATCCTGACCTTGCTGCCCAGTGCTGGGAAGACAATCCTGAAACTCCTTCCAGGCTTGTTTCATTTCCAGGATTCCTACAGTTTGTGTTTACTTTACTGCTTCTATTTCCATTTTCAGGTCTTGAACAGTTTTAATAGTTTCCTTTAACTGTTTTTTTCTTGGCTTTATTTTGGGAGTTTATTGGTATCCCCCAACTGTTTGTGTTTTCCTGGCTCTCTTTGAGGGATTTATTGATTTCCTCCAATTGTTTGTGTTTTCCTGAATTAATTTAAGGGATTTATTCATTTTTCTATTTAAAGACCTCTGTTATCTCCATATAGTTAGTTTTAAGGTCTTTTTCTTCTGTTTCAGCTATGTTGGCATAGGCAGTAACTACTGTGATAGAGTAGTTGGGCTCTGGTTGTGACATATTTCCTTGTCTGTTATGGATTATGTTCCTATGCTGGTGTCTAGGCATCTGGGTTTGGGTGATTATAGGTCTAGGTGCTGATTTCTGGCTTCATCTTTGTTGGATGGGAGTTTTGTTCCTGGGTTTTTGTTTGCTGTCTGGAGTTTCAGAGTGTATGTTGGCTAAGTGTTGCCTTTTTTACTAGCCCTCTTGACTGGTATGTTCAAGGGAGAATGCTTGCTGGCGTTGGAGGCTAGGGGAATGGGAGGACAGGGGGGATTATCCTAGGGATCCACAGAAGGTGTGGAGGGGAGGGGAAGCTGCCTCTGGCACTCTATTCCAGCTGTAGGGCAGCTGTGCAAATTAGGTTTGGGGTAATAGATAATGTAGTAGACTGGAGAGCCTACCTGGTCTTCTCACAGATGTGGTAAGTAGGTGAGCAGGTGTTGTCTGCCTGAGTTGGGGGCTGGGATACAGAGATGAGGCAAGAAGGGAAGGGCATGTGGGGATGGTCTATAGAATTCACAGGAGACATAGACAGGGGGAGAGGAAGCTGCAGCTGGTGTTCTGTTACAGCCTTAGGGACAACCCAAAGTATTGGGTCTTGGGTAACAGAGAGTGGGAAGGTTCATGGGCAGCCTACTTGGTCCCTTACCCAACATCTTAACACTGATTCATCAGATTCCCAGAGATCATTTATTTACTTACTTATTTAGGTTTTTGTTGTTAATCTGTGAAAGACTTATAGTTTATTGGATAAAAAGTACTATGTTGGCTGGGCATGTCACTCAGCTAGTATTCTTCTTTGAGTAGACCTGAGTTCATATACCAACACCTAAGTAGGGAGGCTCATAAATACCTGCTACTCCAGGTCCAGGGGATCTGACACCCTCTTCTTTGTTACATCACCTCTACACACGTGGAAAACATCCTTACACACACACACACACACACACACACACACACACACACACACACACACACACACACAAAATGGGGATAAACTTGTTTTCAAAAGTACTTGTGACTTAAAAAGCAACGAGAGCAAAACAAGTTGCTTTAGGTGCATAATACAAATCATACAATGTTTATGTAGAAATGTTACCTTGCATTTGGTTTGAACACATTTTAATTTCCTCACTCTGATGCAGACTTACACCCAATCTTCAGTCATAGGAAAGAAAATGATTTCTAAGTTATCCTAACAGACATTCTTTTCTTTATCAAAAGAGAATGAAAT